AAAAACCCTGTCTCAAAAAACCAAAAAAAAAAAAAAAAAAAGAAAAGAAAATAAAAAATCAGACGAGCAGGCCTTGGAAATGGCTCCACACCACTCGGCCAATCCTAGGACCACTTCTACAGCCAGCCAGCCCTGCTGCTGGAGCAGTCACCAACACCTCTGCCTGAAACAAAAAGCCGCCTCCTCAGCAGTAAGGCAGGTTTTGTATGGAAACACCGAAAGGTTTTGTTACAGAAGAATTAACAGTAATAATTAATTACTCAGGGGAGTCAATGCCAAGAAGGAAAACATAATGGATCTCCAACCACCTAAAGCTGTTTTCTTGATGACTTTCTTATTTCCTGATGCAATGCTGGGGATTCACATGTGGCTGCCGGCCATCCATAGTAAAGGAAAACCAAAACATTAAACAGGAAGACTTTTCAAACTAAAGTGAAGAATGTACTTAAAGTTATAAACTCACTAAACATAAGATTTATGAATCTCTGTCCAATAATTTAAAGAAGTATACAGTTCACACAAAACCCACATTTTCCTTTAATTAATGTAAGTAGACCACTTTCCCCCCAATGGCAAAGAAAAATCTGTACTAATCAGTTCATGGTGTAAAGGCCAGCCAGAGAAACCATTTTGTGTTAGGCCTCCATCTTAGTACCTAATGACTGCTTGCTCTAGACTCAAAATTCCAGAAAGATGGGTTCCCAGAAAACAGCACTGACTCAGTGACCCCCAACCAGATGTTGATATGACTGCCTGCTTTTTTTTTTTTTAGCTTCTGTAACTTGCTCACACAGATACCCAAAGACTGTTTTGAGTTGCTTTAACCACTTGACAGAACAGACCAGTTTTTACTTGCTTGTGTAGATATTGAAGGTATCCTGTGGTTTTCTTCTTTAAAAAACCTTTCCTTAAACCCCTCCTTCATGGCAATCTCAAATTTGGTTCACAGATTGTTGTCCTGCTAGCAGTTAATAAGTATTTTCATTATTTTTGGATTGAGTCTATGGTATTCTCCCAGGGGTCAGAAACTTTGTAACAATGAACTATCATGAGATAATTACATAGTATTAAAAAAAAAAAAACAGTATAGTCAAAAATAGCTTGACCAATGAAGTCCACAGCAAGTTTATCGTGTAAATCTGCTGCTGGTTTTTCTTTCAGTCTTGGGTTGGACACTTAGTTCCACAGCTTTAAAAAAGGACAGTTCAGATGGAGGCAAATCCACAGACCCTAAACAGAGTCTCACTCTCTAATAGCTCTCGGGTCTTCTGTGCCGGCTCCCTACCACCACTTCTCAAAGCAAATGTGTTCCTTGGGAACATGGCTGGTTTCCAGTTGCTTAGAGAAAAAGTCAGTCATTGCAGGCGGGCCGCAGATGTAGAAAAGAGTCTCTGCTGAAATGTGGTCTCTTATCTCCTTCTCCGTTATTCTTCCTTCTACCAAAAAAACAGAACAAACTCCATTCAGCGTAGGCATGTTTTTATCCTGACCTACCACAGTTTGGTGGCAGAGTTCACCTGTAGCACTGTGAGCTGACCAACCACACTGTTCACCTGCAGCACTGTGAGCTGACCAACCACACTGTTCACCTGCAGCACTGTGAGCTGACCAACCACACTGTTCACCTGCAGCACTGTGAGCTGACAAACCATACTATTCACCTGCAGCACTGTGAGCTTGGACTCTCCAGGTTTCTCAGGCCTACAGCAAGCAAAGCAGAAGGCTCATCCCCAACTGCTCTTTAGAGAGTCCACAAGCTCACTTGCATTACAGAGATAAAAACTACCTTCAGCAAAGTAAATGGCTATTTTATTTAAAAAAAATAAATAAAATTCTTTCAGGATGGCAAGATGGCTCAGCACGCAAAGACTCTTCTACCAAGACTGATGAACTGAGCTTGATCCCTGAGACTAACAGATGGAAAGAGAGAACCAACTCCCAAATGTTAAATGTTGTCCTCTGACCTTCACACATCACTGCAAACACAAAGATACACACACACACACACACACACACACACACTAATTTAAAATAACAAAAGGAGGGGTGGGAGGAATAAGGAGGGAGGATGGGGGGATCTGTGGATAGTATGTGGAGTGAGTAGAAAATTTCTTTTTTTTTTTTTTTTTTTGGTTTTTTTGAAACAGGGTTTCTCTGTGTAGCTCTGGCTGTCCTGGAATTCACTCTGTAGCCCAGGCTGGCCTCGAACTCACAGAGATCCGCCTGCCTCTGCCTCCCAAGTGCTGGGATTAAAGGCATGTGCCACCATCGCCCGAAAATTTCTTAATAAAGAAAAAAGAAAAAAATAAATAACAGAAATTGTCATGTGTGCTGTGCCTTGGGCTCCATTGTGGAGAAAGTGAGTCAGCTCAGCAGCAGCACCATGGATGTAGTGACCTATAACGATGTGCATGTCAACTTCACTCAGGAAGAGTGGGCATTGCTGGATCCTTCCCAGAAGAGTTTCTACAGAGATGTGATATTGGAGACCTATATGAACCTCACTGATATAGGCTACAATTGGGAAGATCATAACGTTGAAGAACATTGTCAAAGTTCTCAAAGATACGGAAGTTACGTTGTATGTCACTCTGGATACAAGCCATATGAGCACAGGGATATAGAAAGAAGCAATCTCCATCTCAGAACAATTAGAAGATATGTAGTACTTATGTTGAGTAGATTTGTTGAATGTAATTCAAGTTTACAAGTAATCAGTTTTCCAGCTCCAATGGGAATATATCAACAAACACACTGCAGAAAAGCCCTATGAATACTAGTAATGTGTAAATACTTCTGTTTGTCCTGATTCACTTTGCAAATGTAGTATGACTCACAGTATAGGAAATTTATCAATGGAATAAGTGGGGTAAAGGTCTGAATTCTACAAGTTCTCTTCAAATATGTGAAAAATCTCATAGAAAAAAGATGCTGGGGCTGGAGAGATGGCTCAGAGGTTAAGAGCACTGATTGTTCTTCCAGAGGTCCTGAGTTCAATTCCCAGCAACCACATGGTGGCTCACAACCATCTGTAATGATAACTAGTGCCCTCTTCTGGCCTGCAGTCATACATGATGTATACATAATAAATAAATAAATCTTAAAAAAAAAAGAGAGAGAGAGAAAAGAAAAAAGAAGCCATAAATGTGAGCCAGGTAATAATGGCTTTTACCATTACAGGCATTTTCAAATATGCAAAACAATCTTTAATGAAGGGAAACAACATGAGTGTAAGCAATGTGACAAAACCTTAAGATCTGATTCCTCTTTACATTTAGTTCAAATTGTAAAATTAACTTATACAGATATAAAGATTCAACAGCGTAATGAATGTGTTACAGCTTTTAAAAGTGCCAATTATCCTTTCAGGCATGAAAGAAGTCATAAAGGAGAGCAAACTTCTGAATATACTGAATGTGTTAAAGCATTTGCATAACATAGCTGACTTCAAAGGCATGAAAGAATACTGGAAAGAAACTCTATGCAGGTATTCAATATGGTGAAGCCTTTACATGTCATAGTAGACTCCAAATACATAAACACATACTGGAGAGAAACCCTATGAATGATATCAATGTGGTAAAGCCTTTGCACCATAAGGTCATCTTCAAATGCATGAAAGAATACATATGGGAGAGAAACCCTATGAATGTAAACAGTGTGGTAAAACTTTTGCATATCATAGTCATCTCAAAATACAAAAAAGAACACATACTAGAGAGAAACCCTATGAATGATATCAATGTGGTAAAGCCTTTGCACCATAAGGTCATCTTCAAATACATAAAAAGAACATATACAGGAGTAAAACCCTATGAATGTAATCAATGTAGTAAAGCCTATGCTCATCACAATTCTCTTCAATGGCATAAAAGAACACATATTGGAGAGAATCCCTATGAATGGAATCGATATGATAAAACCTTTGCACATCATAGTCATCTACAAAGGCATGAAAGAACACATACTGGAGAGAAACCCTATAAATGTAATCAGTGTAACAAAGCCTTTGTTCGTCATTGTGATCTACAAAGGCATGAAAGAACACATACAATGAGTGAAACCCTACATGAATAACTTTTAGTGTGTAATTGGTCAGTTAAAGCCTTTGAATATAGCATTAGATTTTGAGGATCTGAAAAAACTCACGCTGAAGGGAATCTGAATATAAAAAATTGGTAATATTTTTAGCCAACTCACTTATATCACACAAGATTATTTATTCTGAAGAAAACAATCTGACAAGTGTCAACAACTGGTTCAAGCAATATGATACCCTTCTTTATTTTGTTGACACCTGCAAGCTCACATTGACAAAATGCCTATGAATTTAAATAAGGTAACTCTTTTCGATTCTATACTTCTCCTCAATTACATGAGATAATGAATCCAGGTGTAAAACTTCCTGCATGTATATTAGTGCCTTTTCTGTTGCTGTGATATATCATCATGTCTATATTTGCTTACAAAAGTGTTTAATTTGTCCCTGGATTCCTGAGCAATACAGGATCCCCATGAAAGTGGCATGGAAACAAGTGTCAGACATGGCAGCTAAAGTAGGAAGCTAAAAATTCACATCTTTAACCTGCAGCATGAAGGAGAAAGTGTAAATTGAAAATGGTGTGCAGATGTAAACTATCAGGCCAAACCCCAGTGAAACATTTCTTCCAGCAGGGCAGTATTTTCTAAATCTTCAAACATGATATCACAGAGAGAATGATTGATTTGTCTGACTTCAAGCCTACATTCTTACCTTGTTACATGAACCAATTCATGATGGAGAAAAACCCTCTAAGCCTTTAGATGCCTCAACACCCGTGTTACAAGAGTTACAAGAGAAAAAACATTCATGAGTAAAAATTGGTTTAAAGATTTGTTTTAATTTTAATTATGCAATGTCAGTGTGTCTTTGTGTGAGTATGTGCATGTACATTCTGGTTGCCAAACAGGTTAGACCCTTGGAGCTTTTTGTAGCAGGAATTACTAGAAGTCATAAAAAGCCTGACCTTGGTCCTGGGGGTAAACTTATATTAAGGGCGTGGCCATGTCTCTAGCCCTGTAAATATTCTAAAGCTTTTTTTTTTTTGGTTTTTCAAGACAGGGTTTCTCTGTGTAGCTTTGCGCCTTTCCTGGAACTCGCTTTGGAGACCAGGCTGGCCTCGAACTCACAGAGATCCGCCTGGCTCTGCCTCCCGAGTGCTGGGATTAAAGGCGTGCGCCACCAACGCCCGGCTTTTTTTTTTTTTTTTTTTTTTTTTTTTTTTAATATCATCTTGATATCTGGAAATAGGGAGGAACTCATAAAAGAGAAAAACCCTATTCATGTAAATGATATGGTAAAGACTTTAGACATCACAGTTGTCTTCAGTTTCAAGAAAAAAACTTATTTCATCTCTTTTTCATCATAGCCTTGAAGTAAATAAATTATTAACCAAGTTCACTGTGGGTACCTGCCCCTGAGGTACCTTTTATCTGAGGGTACTCTTGAGGAGTGAGGGATAAGAGATTTAGATAGAAGGATGGAGAGGAGAGAAAAAAGAAACACAGGATAGCCCCAGGAGGGCCTGAATTCTTATCCACTGGCCCAGAACTTCATTCAAAAGGCTTTTTATAACAATGCCAAGGGGCAAGGCAAAAGACCTTCCTCTTGCTAGATACAGCCAAGTGCAGACCCTTCCAAACATCTGGTACCCAGGCCCATGGTCTAATCATCCTCTTATGCAGCCCTGCTGGGTTCTAAAGACTATTGTGAAGTTCACATTGTGGCTTCTATTTTGCAACAGGTGGATATTAAAGTGTGCTATACGTGTGGCAAACCCATTTAGTGAAGTTTATTTTTTGGTCCTTTTATTCCTTCTGTGGCTTTTTTCATCTTCTAGTTTGCTTTCACTTAGTAGAGGTATTTTTCTGCTTCAATGTATAGAATGGGATGGCCATCATCTAAATGGTACATTTGTATTTAAATATTAGGCAGTGTGTGATCATTCTTTTCAAGTTGGTGTGTCTGTGAAAGGGTGGTGGGTTTTTGTTACTGGTTTTATTTTCCATATGTTTTTTTTTTTGTTTTTCACAAATTCCCTTGAAATGTTGTTTGTCATCCAGCCTGGCTTGATTGTTAGTAATTAGTCAAAGATACATTTGAATTCATGATTCTCATGTGTCAGTCTCCTGAGTACAAGTCTAAGGGTATATGACGTGCTCCCAACGTTTGCTGTTTTGTCAACACATATTAAGAACGTTAATGTTCAAATGCTTAATAGAAGAGAACATAAGAAACATTAAATACATCATGTGTGTATTCAAAGAAACATTTTTCATGTATCTAGAAGAAATGTAATGAGGTAGCATAATCGGCAATCAACTGTATATTTCACAATATAACTCAACTGTATATTTCACAATATAACTGATGTACTATGGATATGTATGTATCATTTGTAATTCCATGCATCTTCATGTCCTTATCAGTTATTCATTTCACATAATATCTTGAAGTATTGCCTTCTAAGGGAAATATCCAGAGATGCCAGATAACATAATGCCATGAGATTTATTTAAAAAAAAAAAATGTTGTGTGTTTGTGTAATGTGACTATGGGTTTTAGGCCATGACAGATATGTGGAGACAAGAAGACAACTTTGTGGGGTCTACTTTTGTCCATCTTCATTCGGTGATCAAGATGAGGTTACAGCCTTGCACAACACAGATATTTCAAACATAGCTGTCTCATTGATGCTCAAATAAGATTAAGTGAAACATTACTCCTTAAAAGATAGCATTACTCATAAAAAAAGATCATCAGATGCTTCATCCCCTGGTTGTTTAATAGATGAAATAGTTATACACAAGACAATCCATCTTGATTTCTTTTCTCAATGCAAATATTTAATTAGTAGGCAACTGATCTTGGTACTGTTAGTTTAGGTCTCTAATCAGTAAAATAGTCTCCTTTTTAGATTGTAAACATACTTTCTTTGAAGCATAATGGAAAACAGGAGAAATTGAATAATAAATCCTATTTCCAAATGAAAAAAAAATTAAAATAACTTTACTGGGTGTGGTGACTCAAACTTTTAGTCTCAGCATTTGGAGGGGAGAAGCAGGTGGATCTTCATGAGTTCCAGGCCAGCCAAGGCTACATAGTAAGACCTTATCTCAAGAAACTAAAACCAAAAAACAAAAAGTAAATAAAAAAACTTTAAGGCATCCTTCCAAATAGAGAATCTGAGTAATTTAAATAACTATTAATGGCAAATGGAACTGATTCAACCAAAGCAGGAGTATAGTTTATTTGTTTGTTTGTATACTATAGTTATGATGCCAGGGTCTACTAAAAATTGTGAAAAATACAATTTTAATACAGGCAGCACAAGACCTATCTATAATAAGCAAACCCAAGTTAAGTATTTCTACGTGAACCACCTCAATTACCCTGGGAATGACATTCCCAGCAGATGACTCCTAACTGTAAAACATCTATCTATGCTTAACCAATTGGCCTGTCTATCCAGTAACAGCACGACTAGCCAAAACTTCTTTAGAGGACTCACCTGTGACGTATGGCTTAAGTTCTGCACTGATTTGTGTCATCTGTTTTGTAACATGCAAACTGCAAGTAATCTTCTCAGGAAATTCATTTACTAAATCGAGGATATTTTTCTGGAATGTCAAACAAAGGTCAAACTACAATTAAAAAAAAAAAAATCAAACCATCAAACCATAGCTGGGTATGGTGGTAGAATGGAAGCCTTTAATCCCAGCACTCAGCAGTCAGAGATAAGTGAATCTCTGAGTTTAAGGGCAGTCTGGTCTACATAACAAATTCCAGGCCAGTAAGGGCTAATGTCTTAAAACCACTACCACTACCTCCCCCTTCACTATCACCTCTTCCTCCTCCTCCTCCTGGTTTTTGAGACAGTCTCATGTGGTCCAGGCTGGCCCTGAATTTGCTATGTCGTTGAAGTTGGCCACGAATGCCTGATCTTCCAGCCTCACATGTCAAGGACTGGGGTTACAGATGTGAGACACCATGCCTGGCCCTAGTGACTTTTCTGTAACACTGACTTCTAGATTCTATCCCACTGTGGTGGTCTGAATGAGAATGGGCCCCATAGGCTCATAGTTTCAATACTTGGTCCCCAGTTGGTGGAACTGTTTGGGAAGGATTAGAAGTACAGCCTTGTTAGACGTGTGTCACTGGGGTGGGTGTTGAGGCTTCAAAAGAGTCATCCCATTCCCAGTTAACCCTCTCTGCCTCCTGCTTGTGTCTCAAGATGTGAGCCTGCAGCTACTGCTTCAGCACCATGCCTGCCTGCCTGTTGCCACGATGGCCATGGACTCCAACCCTCTGAAATCAGAACCCCCATGTTAAATGATTTCCTTTATAGGTTAGCTTGGTCATAATGTTATATCATAGGAATAGAAAAATAACTAAGATGTCCACCAAGACTCATCTTATTCTGCCAATTAACTGGAAACATTTTTAACTGTCCTAGGTGAAATGTGTCTGTTAATTCTCATTTGAGATTAAGCCTTGCTAAGCCTTTTATTTGAACCTTTGCAGAGAAATCTGAACCTAACAGAAGAAAAAAATTTCCCCATTTATTTACATGTTTGTTTATTTTTATTGGCATATATTGTTAAGTGATGGGCTCAGAAAGACATTTTCATTGGAGTACATCATGCACTTTGTACATATTCACCCCATCCTCCTCCTTTTACTCCCATTCAATCCCCTAGGCAGTTTCACATCTTTCTTGTCCTATATACCTGTATGATTTTTCATTGTTTAATTGGCATACAAAGTATTGGGTTTTGTCATGGCATTTTTTGGTTTTGTTTTGTTTTGTTTTTCGAGACAGGGTTTCTCTGTGTAGTTTTGGTGCCTGTTTTGGATCTTGATCTGTAGACCTGGCTGGCCTCGAACTCACAAAGATCCGCCTGCCTCTGCCTCCTGAGTGTTGGGATTAAAGGCATGTGCTACCACCGCCCGGCTCGTCATAGCATTTTTATACACACTTTATTTTGGTTGATCACCCCTCCCCCATGTCCACACATATACCTCTCTCCTCCTGTCCTGAGCTCTCGTGTACCCTAAGACTCAGTAGTGCTCTCTGCACTTATCATTTCACATCCCCTGTTGTTTATGGACTATATACAATCTCACACACTTGCTACAGCACCATGAAAACATGGCTCCCACCTTACCTTAAACAGGAGTTCACTGGTGTTCTTTGCACTGTAGAACAGTTTTATTGTTCCTATCTCATAGCTACTTCCTTTGTCTGCTTGGTCTCGGTGGAGATCTGCTGAGTGGCGCAGGATGGAAAGCAGGGGGTTAATCCCAACCCCTCCAGCAATCAACACGAGGTTTCGAGGGGCATCTGTGGGCTGAGGGTCAAAGAAGAACTCTCCACCCACTCTGAGCGCCACTTCGGAGTCAAGTGTGCACTGAGCAAGAAAGAAAAGATCCCTTGGTCCCATGCAGCACAAGTCTCAGACCAAACAGCCTATGTAAGTGAAGCCACCAGGCTGACCTGCGTGCCTTTTAGTATTTAAGACGATCTGCACAACTTGTTTTCAATTTTCCCAGAGCCTTGGGACTTGATTCTACTTGTCCAGCTTGTAGTCTGTTCGATACCCCAACTTTGTGATCCACACGACATAGCCATGCTGGTATTAAGAAAGGGGGACTTGCTGAAGAGATTGTGCCATTAGCTTCACAGGTGAGGAGCTGAGCTGAGGAAAATGGCAATGGACCCAGGCAGGGAAGCTCTGGGGTGTGAATCCCTTCATCAGAGTCATTCCTGTGTTCTGACCCAGGCTGAGAAAGGCAGGATGGGACTGGTGTGTCCTCAGGCTGAGAGGTGTAAGGCCCCCGGGGCGCCCTCCTCAGGTGAGCGGTGCAGGCTTGCACTAGCACTGTGGTACCAGCTGTGCCGGTTCACTTCTCCCTCTACAGCCAGAAAAGCAGCAGGAGGCTGTACATGCAGGCTGAGTCTCACACCAGCCTGCCCAGGTCACATGCCAGTATCTGGTGACATCACTTATACCACAACTGCCACCACAGGAGAATGAATGCACTGGTTCCCAATGGGCCAATACTGCTTCTGATGGGGTGTTCTGGAAACCTGTGGCAACATTTTTTTTTTCATTGTCACAGTGATTTGGGGAACCTAAGTGACACTCGGAGGGTAGGGCTAGATGTCCCACATTAACTGGTGGCTTCCTGGATCTGGCTCCTAGTAAACTGATGGCTAAATCTGCAGGGATTTTCTGTTATTCTTAATTGGTAGTTTGGATTCAGCCACTGTGGGAATATTCAGAACACAAATTTGTGCATGACACAAACGAGGGCTTTTTTAAAATTCAGAGTGCTGGATTACCTGCATGCCATTGCCGCAATGCACAGGACTGTCAGGTGACTCTGAGTGAGCCACAGGCTATTCATGTGGGCAGAAGCTGGTTTGTAGTGACCTGAGACCTGGGCCGTGGTGACGCAGAGCAGGCTGATGGAAGGACCCATGGCAGCCAGGAAGCACGGAAAGAGAACGCCTGCATGTGGCTTTCCTCCTCCCCCTCCTTTTTATTTTATCTGCCTCCCCCTCGGCCCACGGCATGGTGCTGCCCGCACACATTCAGAGAGTGGACTCTACCCTTGGTTAATCCTCTCTGGAAATGGCCTCAGAGAACACATCCAGAGGTGAGCCTTACTAATTAATCCTGTACTCTCTTCTCCATCAAGCCCACAATCAAGATGAATCAATGAAACAATGAGTCAATGAAACAATGACTCATCTTACAAATAAACTGTGACAGCTTTGCACGAATCTAAGTTCACCCGAATTTTCCAGAATGGAACAAGTGCAGACTAGATCTGGCTGTGTTCACTGTTCTGGAAGACCACATCCCAGGAAGTGACATGAGTGTCCTTCTGTCACCCACACAGCAAGCCTACACCACCTGCATCTGCAGACCACACATTTGTAGTAACCGTTTTTAGTAAAAGTCTGCTGACTGCTTCACTCTATCGTGTAGTCTCCATACACTCAAACTTGAGCGTTTGGAAATAAATATTCTTGGACTCTGGGTTCCTTTCCTGCCTTTATCCCTCCTTTGTATTTCAGCTAGAGAATTTGAGTTTGGGTGCTTTTTTCAGTTTTATGTTTTTCCTTGGAGGGCAGGGATTCCTGCTAGCATTGGGTTCTATATGAAAAGCTGTCTGGATTACTGTGGCTCTCAGAGAGGACAGAGTGCTGGGTATGTCTGCCTCCTTCCTGCCTCCCTCTATCCCAGAATCCAGGAATTCAGCCATTTACACTGGGAGCACAGCTTTACCTCATTGCAAGCTCCTGTCATAAATCTACAGAATCTATAAGTAGTAACATGTCACATGCGTTTGGAGAGTCAAAGCCTTGGCACCCAGTCCTTGGCACCACACATACCAGGTGAGCAGTAGACACTTCTGGACAGGGATTTAATTCGAGGTTCTACAACTTAAGATGACTAAACTTAGAGGAAAACCCAAGAATAAAATCCCTTGATTGATGAAATAAGTCCCCTATTGATAAAGAACTGTTCAATAAATGGAAATCCTTCCCCGAGGGAAACACACCTAAACTCGACTACTTTAAATAAGCAGGAGAGTGTTTTTTCATTCTGACAGACAGCTGGCAGCAGGGGCCGCTGGTTCAGAGGACATAACTCTAGGCATGGCTGCACTGGCGACTGCAGTGCCTAAAAATGCTCCTTGCTCTCAGGCCCTAAAAGTAGAATCCAAAACCTAAGAGGCTCTGCCCTTGCTCAGCCCTGCTCACCTGCATACACACTTCTCTCTTCTGCCATGAGAACCCAGGAGCAACAGAAGCTAGGAAGGAGAAGGAAACCTTTTCCCGGTGCTCTTCAGTGTTGTGGAGCAACGAGAACAAAGAAAGCAACTTGCTTATTGTTTTTGGAAACCCGAGGATGAAAGAAGCCACCTTTGTCTGTTGTTGATAAGTAGAAACCGCTAGGGGAGTCTGAACACAAACGTCAAGTCACTGTTTGCTCTAGCATGCAAGCAGGTAAAAGGACCTTACTGTCTTCCTCACAGAGCACTGCACTGTGTTTGAGTACAGATGTGCCACATGTTACAGGCAACCTTTCCACAGCTTCCGGAACTCCTTGCTCTGCCAAAGCCCGTAAGAGAAAAGACAATCACTTTCCCCCATGTCAGCCAGACAGCCCGCTGCCACCGACACATTTCCTGTCCACCCTACCAGCTCAACGACAGCAAACTCAGAGGACAGGAGCCTCGGAAAATGGCTCCAGGACAAATCTGATGTCATGATGGCTGGTGGCAGTAAGAGACCCTTCTCTCCATATAAACTCTAAAGTTACTTGTCTGTATCTGTAAAACAGCTACATTTTCGTTGTTTTGAAATAAATCCACCAGTCAATGTAAGGGGAATTGTTCCTTGTTTGAGTCTCCCAATCTAAGAGCACCCACGGTACCTCTTTGATTCCTTTCATGAGATTGTGATGGACAGTTGTTTTTGGTTTGGGTTTTTGTTTGTTTGTTTGTTTTTTTCCTGAAGAACCATATGAAAGCTGGTCTTATACTGGGGGATGTACCAAGAAAGGGACGTAATTTGCAAGTTTTCACCACACAAAAGTCTCTTCAGCCACAAGGGCATGTTACTGCCTACAGATATGTCCTGTTTAGGATTCTGTGTGTATCTCTACTAACCTAGCCAAACTGTAGCCACTACATTCTACACCCCCCGCTCCCTGCGTGCCCCTACGACAAGGCTACACGTCTGCCCCCATCATGCATTTCTGCTGGTGCTCTGGCCAGATCTGCTACTACTGGCTTCACTCCTCGCCTTACATGTGGTTCCTACACAAACAAGAATTCTCTGCAACCTTTAAAAACACAGTGATGAAAATAAAGTTAGTTTTTGCTTTCTGTTCTCTTTTTTGACTGTCAATGACTCCCAGAAAAGAATGAAACTGTGCTGAGTTTCTGGGTGCATTTCAGTAAGGAAGCTAAGAAAACCCTGAAACAGGATGGAGGCTGCAGGTGAATACAAAGACACACTATGGTACAGAGAAGGGGAAACAAAAAGAAAGAAGGGTCAAAAACTAAGGTCCCCCTTTGTTCCTGGCGTTCTAGCAGGTAATGGCAGGCGGCATGTGCAGGAAAGGGGGTAAGCCTTGTGATACAGCACAATATACAAGCTACAGTTAGAATTGGATCCTCTCAGAACCCCGTATGAAGAGCCCGAGGTGACTAGTGTGGAGCGCCACAGACTCAGCATTAATGACTGCGCACTACTCTAACTGCAGATGGTTCCCCTCCGGGTTCTAGGCAGTCCCTTCTTTAGGATGTTCACAGTAAGACTGTTGACCTAACAGCTGATTTCCAAACATTTGTATAGAATGCCTGGTGGAAACAAAATATTTCCAATCCTTTTAAAACACAGTTCACCAACAAGATTCTGCTTCTCCATCCTCCTGGGGAACTCAGTGTGAGTTTGCATGCTGCATGTCCCCAGTCCTCCAACTGGCCACCTTGCCGTTCAGGATCCTATTCCTGCAGGTCCGGGTTACAAGTAAACTAAGTGAGCTGAACACACATTTAATGGAGGCAGACGAAGATGCTCAGATCTCCAACTTTAAGTTAGCTGAGGGGCTGGAGAGACGCTCACCAGTTCAGAGCACCTGCCACTCTTACAGAGGCCTCAGGTTCGGTTCCCAACACCCGCATGGTAATGCACAACCATCAGTGACCCTGAGAGAAACAGACATGCATGTGGTGTACAAACAAACATGCAGGTAAAATACCCAGACCCATTAAATTACAGAAAGCTAAAAAAGGGTTGTTTAAAAGGTGACTGCTTACCTTATTGTGAACCCAGACAGCAGGAGGGTGGTTTGTGTATTTCACTGCCAATTCTATTATTCTCTCTTGTTCTAGCAGTTGGGGACTGGAGCAAATTGAAAACCCACCAACGACTGAGACTCCTGGGATAAAGAAATCAACCCTAAAAGGACAAACAAACCATCACTGTTGCAGTAACTAAGAAAGGTGTCAACAGTAGGCAAAGAAACAAGCTGACAGATTCAGTTAGACTAAGAAAATATAAAGTCCTAACTTAAAAAAAGAGGGACAATCATAAAAAATTCTTAAAAAATAAAAAGAATTCTTCAGGAATTTTATGAAGAACTGCTATGCTAAAAGTTAGTTAATTAGATGAACCACATACATTACTAAAAAGACATCAACTATCAAAAATGGCACAAGAAGAAACAGAAAAACCTGATCAGAGCTACATAAACTTTAATGACTGAATTAATAAAACTTCACAAAGAAGAATTCTGGTTCAGACGGTATCACTGGTGAGGTACATCACACACTTAAAGGTGAATTAAGACTAATCTTTCAGAAACTACCCCAAACAAGAGAACAAACACATTGGAACTTACTCTAATGAAGCTGGTACCACCCTGATAATCACAGACACTGAAAGAAAACTATAGACCAGTGGTCCTCAACCTTCCTGAGGCTGCAACCCTTTAATACAGTTCCTCATGTGGTGACCCCAACCATAAAATTATTTCATTGCTACTTCCTAACTGTAATTTTGCTATTGTTATGAACTGTAATGCAAACATCTGTGTTTTCTGATGTTCTTAGGCAATCCTTGTGAAAGGTTCATTTGACTTCAAAAGGGGTCACGACCCACAGGTGGAGAACAACTGCTATTGATCACTACCTATTCAAATAAAGAAAAAGAAATCTGAGAATACAAGGTTGGCTTAACATCTGTCTTCATCATTTTTTTTTTTTTTTTAGATCAACTTGAGGGCTAGGTTCAAGGAGAGACTCTTCTCAAAAAGATAAGGCAGCCAGGTGTGGTGGCACACACCTTTAATTGCAGCACTCGGGAACAGAGGCAAGGGGATCTCTGGGCTGGAGGCCAAGGCCCTTCTTTCAGCTACTCTGTCTATCAGAACCAAGACTGGTTTTTAGAAATGCACGAGTGCCCTGCAAGCATGACCGGAGCAGATCAGGTGGCTGCAATGTGTTCCAGTGAAGCCGTCTGCAGACACAACCGCAGAGCTGTGGCCCCACAGAGCAGCACCTCGCTGTTTGAAAGAGGACTACCCAAGGTTGCTTTCACACATGACAGAGGGTGAGACAGGTTACAACCAAGTAAGGAATCAAGGTGTCCATGCCCAAACAGAAATGACCCAGAATTCCTCTCTCCTAGTGGGGGACAGCTACCCACAAAAGTCCTTTCTAGAAGAAAATAGAATACCTTTCATCTGACAGGAAAAGAGAAACACAACTCACCACTGGCCAGCCTTAAAGGAGAAGTCTTTATCGGGGACAAGCAAGCGAAGGCTCTTCACTGACGGAGACTCGTGGGCAATTTCACACACCTTAGCCGCAGCCACGACCTGAAGCAAAGAGGTTCAGGGCTTAGGAACATGGGCTTGGAAAACTGCCCAACAAGGCACAGCATACGCTGCTCTGCTCTGCCCTCCATCAGGTGGGTAAACGGAATGAACTTTATGAGACTACCTACAACACTATTTTATCCTGAATACCAAAACCATCTCTTACATGGACTGTGTAACCAATATCCATCCAGGCATTGGGCTAGGCTCCCTCAAGAGCTGTGCAGGTGAGATGCCCTCTGCAAGCCTGCCTGGCATCTAATGTCCCCTTCAGCAGTAGGCCAGGTGAGGCCACAGTTGCTTCTGAGTAAGAAGTCCATGGCATGCTAACAGCAGACATTCACAGAGAGCAGCAAGAACTTTTTAAAGAGCAAAGAAATCGAGAACTGGGTTTGTACTCGTGTGCTTCCTTGCTGCCTTTTGTTTCGTGAGTTGGGTCTCACTTTGTAGCCTTGGCTAGCCTGGGACTATGTAGATCAGGTTGCCCTTGAACTCACCTGCCCTACCTCCCTAGTGCTGTGATTAAGGTGTGTACCACCATGTAATGCTTGTAAGCTTATTTTTCTTAAATTTCTTCTAATTTATTATATTTTTCCAAAATATAACCAGTTCACGACCTTAAAGCAAGAACAGCACAGCCCCTTCCTCCGGAGTTTTGGGAAGCACTACTCTGAACGAGGCATTTTCTTTCTGAAAACTTCCAAACTGAGTGACTTGGGAACTAGTCAGTGACGGTAACCTGTGCCTTAGTACCCATCCCTTCCTTTATCCCACCTCTGCTCTGTACTCCTCTTCCTCCCCTAAATCTGGAACATTGCTCTAAGGGTCAAAGACAGACACAGCTCCCGTCAAGTTCCTTCTGTTCAACTCCACCTGTGGCGTGGGCAGGCCCCTCAATGGAGGGCCCCAACCAGCTCCACCAGGGGATGCTTTGGAAACTGCCCACCCTGATGCTAGCTCATTTCAGCCTTTTCTTCAACAGGACTTCCAGGTTCAACCCTCAGTGGGAGATCACTTTTAAAAATCCATTAGAAAAGTCTCACTACCTCAAAATAGCTCCTAAAATTTTCATCCTTTGTCCACTGCTGTAAAATCCCTTGCCTCTCTTTCTTTGGATTGTGGCTAACCCCTTCTTGCTCCTGTCTTGGAGAGCAAGTGGGTGATTTCTTTATGTCAGCCCCAATGCCTGCACCTTAAGAAAAAGAAAAGAAAAAAGACAGGGTCCCTCTACATAGACCAGGCTGGCCTGGAACTTGCTATCAATCAGCCTCAGCCTAAGATTACAGATGTGTGCCACCAGGCAATGCCCTTTCTACCACCTACATTCTTGATCCTAACCCCTATCTGTGACTTGTACTGCTTCATCAGCAGCTATCAGCTAGCCCTTTGTTCACATTCAGTCCTTTTTCTAGTGCCTTCCTGTTTCATCAGACATGGTATACAGTGCCACTGGTTTTATCTTGAGCAGCTCAGACACAAACTATGGAAATAAGCAGGATATAGCTGATAACAGAACGGACTCGGCAGTGAGACAGCCCAGACTTTAATCTTGGCAACACCACTTACCACCATGTAACTCAGGGCAAATGTCCCAGCCACCTTCAACTATGAGCTGAGACCAGAACACCTTTGCCTCATAGTGTTGTTGGGGGCACTAAAGCAGAGAGTACAAACAAAAACACTTCTAATGTTGCTAGCCCACAGTAAGTGTATATTGTTTGTTACCTACTTTATTGCACTAATTTATTTTACATCATATACTGCACTTTATCCATTTGTTACTATGCCACTGCACTGCACATCCCCAGGGGAACTGCAGGTGAGGGTGACAAGGACCTGTACAGTGTGGTGGACTGGAACCATATGTCCATTCTAGCCTATCAATTATTGTGTGGGTGCAAACTAGAAAGCCTTTAAAGTATCTGAGAAACCTTGCCTTCCATCCCTCCTCTACTGAGACAACAGGCTTCCTCAGCCTACACAATCTTCCTGTCCTTGTTGCTCTTCTGAACCAGAGGTAACCTGTCTTCTGCTCTCCTGCAACTAGTCCTTCTCAGGCTGGTAGATGTCCTGATAGTCACACTCAGTATCCAGCATCAGTGACAAACCTCCCCAGGTACACACGCCACCATCCCAGCCTCTGAATCTGGTTAGCTCCACCCTGAAGGATTCTCCTTGCTGGGGAGAGCGGACATGGACTCTCTGGGGCCTCTCCTGTGCTCCGACCTGGTCTCTTTGCTCACTCTTCCTTCTCCCACTTCCTCAGTGCAAGCATCCCTTGCCTGAGGCCCTCATCCTCCTGTCCACTCTTTTCTGCTCCTCACAGGTTTATAATTACACTCCCTGTGGATAAGGATAGCCAATACCTAAGGAACTGTTCTTCCGGGTACATACTAGGAGCTGAGTTCAATGTTTTAAGTGCATTAATTCATTCCACTGATATTAGTAATATCCAGAGACAATGTTGTTATTCTTCCCTTTGCTGGTTAAAAAAAAGTAAGTTCCAGTATTTGCTCAAAACCACTGTCTAAGAACTACTGAACCAGGATTCAAACCCAGGTCGTCTTAGCACTTAGTCATCTGACAACACTGTCCCCAGTAGTACAGTCTCTTGCATGTCACACAGTCTATCACAAACTTGCTCAATTCCATGGTGTCTGGAACTGGGATGCCCTGCAACACCAGTTTCTTTCCACTACAGAAATTTCAATTCTGGAGCTGGCTGTGCAAGTATACTGTATTTGTTCTATAAACTAGAGAGCAGAAGGTGGGATCATGAGGAACTGGTCCACTTCTGGTACAGCTCAGCATGAGGATCTGTTCATTATAAGTCCAAAGTCAAGCCCCTGCTCTATGACTGGGAGAACCCTCTGGAAGGGACTGGGATAATCATGATGCTACACACTGTTGAGGTGCTGGCCCCAGAGATCATCTAGCTTCTCCAGTTCCTCCCATCTCCTCCCACTTCTCATTATGTTTGGGAGAATAAAAATTAGAAATAAAAAGGGAGAATTGAAAATGAAGAAATTTCTCCCCCTAAAGATAGCAATGTCACTACTGTAATTGTAATCCTGCAGTTTTCTAATTCCTGAGCATCGGATGCGATGCTTTCTTTCTTTTTTAAAAGATTTATTTATTCATGTATTTTATATTTGAGTGCTCTGTCTTTGTGCACACCAGATGGACTCTGATCCCATTACAGATGGTTGTGAGCCAACATGTAGTTGCTGGGAACTGAACTCGGGACCTCTGAAAGAGCAGTCAAGTGCTCTTACCCACTGAGCCATCTCTCCAGCACCATCAGAGCTTACATTAGCCTTTCTTTGTTCTAAACTAGAACCAAGGGAACCTCTCTCAAAGTCCCAATACTTCTGCCCTATAAGATCCTGAAATGGTGACTCTAATTCAAACAGTGGTAACTGTTACCTACAGGCCAAACCTTTGGTGAGACATGTTTGACTGGACACAGCAAGCCTGATTTGCTTACATCCTTCCATGGCTGTGTCCCACCTCAAAGATGCTGTTTAGTGATGAAATGACTCACTACTTGGACCTTTGAACAAAGTGTGTCAACATCAGCTCTAATTTATCTACCCACCTCCACATACCACAAAAAGAGTATATACAAGCTTTCAATAGAAACCATTCTTTCTTTACAACAGGCACGATTCCACTTTCATGAAGAAATCCTTAACAAGCTTCACATTTACACAATCAGTACTTTTTTGTGTGTTGAAAAATATTTTCATACTGGGCGGTGTTGGCGCACGCCTTTAATCCCAGCACAAGGGAGGCAGAGGCAGGCGGATCTTTGTGAGTTCGAGGCCAGCCTGGTCTACAGAGCGAGATCCAGGAAACCCTGTCTCAAAAAAACAAAAAACAAAAAACAAAAAACAAAAAAAAAAAGAAAAAAGAAAAAAAAACCAGAAAAATATTTATTCTATATGCCCATAGACTTTCTCTGCTGAACTTGTTTTACATTTCAAAAAGAAAACAATCAACATAAAGTGGAATCAACAATTACCTTTGGCACCAAAGCAATTCTCTAAAGGAGAATTAACTTTTCAAAGTAGGGCCTAACAATATACCTTTATGTTAAAGTGCTTCCTGGTATTAAAACGTAAAACTATGAAGACAATACAGTTTCTGATCACGTTTGTAGAAGTGCATAAAAACAGGGTTTTTTCTTGGCTTACAGGGACTTATAACACTAAACTAAATACAGCTGAATCTGTGTGAAGCAACTCAAAAGTAAAGGCAAGTATCCACTTCGTGTTTTGAAGGGGACACATGGCTACTCACTGAGGTAAAGGGTGAAGATCCTCGGCACCCTTCAGCTGGCAGGTTAGCTTTCTATAGCCTGAGTGTGACTGACAGTCTGCAGGGGAAGGGCAGTGAGCTCATCCACCTTCCTGTCTCAGCTGTCAGTGCTGCTCTGACGAGCTAGGAGATGCTTCTAAAGCAGGACGAACAAGGACTTTGAGACATGGTGGCAAAAGAAGAAAAAAAGGTAAGCCATTCATAAGGTGTAGGCTCTGCAAGTTCCCTCTCCTACAGCACGCTCTCAATGTACCTGTCAGGAGGGTGCCTAGTCATGGCTATGCTCCCTCACCAAACAGCCCAACCATGCCAAGTTTAGTGGAAAACCTTCATATAGCTCAGCCACTGCTTTCAAATGAGTTATCATGTCCCTTCTTAGGAAATTCCACAACAGGAAAATATAATTTCCCTGACTGCCCCACCATGCCTGAAGGATACAAACCTCCCGTCGGAGGACACTTGCAGTTCTCTCCAAGTGATCAGTTTTCCTTTTGGATTTCATTATGCTTTTTAAAAGAAGGTAAAATTAGATTAGTAAGCATTATCCTCATAAAATAATAAAACTAGCTTCCCCTGCCAAAAACCAAAACCAAAACCAAAACCCATAGCTATCAGAAGTATAATTAACTGTGGATTCTACAAAATAGTGAGCCTCTGCCAGTGCTCAGTTGCACACCCAACAGAGTTTCCGATCTGATGTCATGTTCGCTGAAGCCAGGATGCTGCCTCTCTTGAGTCTGAAGGACCTCCCAGACCATCAGATCAGGTTTCAAAAATCAACCTAAATGACAGCAAAGGCTGACAACTCACCTGGTTAGAGTAAGGTGACGCAAAGTGCTGGCTGTCGATCTCCACGAAGCAGCCTGAGTGCAGATGGCTCCCACAGTGCGGCGACAGAAGCCAGGAATCAAGACAACATGGGCCATAGTGCTCCTGGGCAAATGTAACTGAAATTTAAAATCATTTTCAGAGAAAGTAGAGAGATGTCAGACTATGTTAGGGGCAGGAGCAAAAGACTGTGGGGGCTAGAGAGATGGTTCTGTAGTTAAGAGCACTGGCTATTCTTCCAGAGGACCTGAGTTCAATTCCTAGAGCCCATATGGCAAGTCACAAGCATCTCTAAGTCATTCCTAGTGCCCATATGGCAAGTCACAACCATCTCTAACTCCAGTTCCAGGGTATCTGATGCCCTCTTCTGACCTTTGCAGGTACCAACACATGATGCACAGACACACACAGGCAAAACATCCATACACATAAAAACAAAACACCCACCCACATAATGGAAGGAAGAAAATCAATTCCCACAAATTGTCCTTTGATTAACATGTGTACCCCAGCCCCCCCAAATAAACAATGAAAGAAATGTAATGAAAATTTTAAATAAAATTGCTTAAAGATTTGGGTTGAGTGTGGTAGCACATGCCTTTAGTCCTCAGGAGGTAGAGGCAGGTGGATCTCTGTGAGGCCAGCGTGGTCTACATACTGAGTTCCAGGACCATGAGGGCTACATAGAACCCTGTCTCATAAAAACAAAACAAAAGAGTATTTTGTTTTGTATTGTCCTTCTAGAAGACTCAATTCCCAGTAACAACATCAGATGGCTCAGAACTACCTGTAACTCTAGCTCAAGGGATCCAACTCCTCTGGCCTCTACACTCATGCACACACAAACTGCATATAATTAAAAACAAAAATAAGTCTTTTGGTGGGGGGATTTTCTTTTCTTTTTTTTTTTTTATTTATTTATTTATTTATTTTTTTTGATGGCTGGTCACTGTGGATGTGGCTCTGACGGTGGGGGGGATTTTCAAGACAGGGTTTCTCTGTGTAGCCCTGGCTGCCCTGGAACTCACTCTGTAGACCAGGCTGTTTTGGAACCTGGGATGTGCCACCACTGCCTGGCTAAAAGTAAATCTTTTTTTTTTTTTTTTTCCGTTTTTCGAGACAGGGTTTCTCTGCATAGCTTTGTGCCTTTCCTGGAGCTCACTTGGTAACCCAGGCTGGCCTCGAACTCACAGAGATCCGCCTGGCTCTGCCTCCCGAGTGCTGGGATTAAAGGCGTGCG